ATGAGCTGCCCATAGAACCAACAGATCTGTGTTGGAAGACGTGCAGCCAGAGTGCTCCTTGGAGGCCAAGATGGCCAAACTTCACCTCTCATACTTCGCACATATTGTCAGAAGGGACCAGTCGCTGGAGAAGGATATCATGTTTGGTAAGGTGGAGGGTCAGAGAAAAAGAGAAAGACCTTCAGTGAGATGGACTGGCCAAGTGGCAGTATCAGTGGGCTCAAGCATAGCAACAATAGTGAGGCTGGCCTAGGATAGGGCAGTGTTTCGTTCTGCTGTGTATAAGGTCGCTATGAGTTGGAAATGCCTTGAGGGCACCTAACAACAACAACAGCAACAATAATAACAGTATATCAGCAGCGGAAAGGGGACCATTGCTTTTCCCTTCCTGTAAGAAGATACTGGGGTACATCTTCCATCATCTTGCCTAACCTAGGAGTGCAGTGGTTTAATGTTTAGCCAGTGACATTGCCTACTGATCCCAAGTAACCTATTAGTGTACATACAATACCTGTCGGCTCTGCAATCTTCATGCTTATTTAGGCAACCCAAAGCTCTGCCAAAGCTCTCGTTTTTTATATAGAGAAATAAACTGGTCACATTGATGTGGCATTGTGGTATAAAGCAATGGACCTCAAAGTCAATTTGAGCCACAAGGTCAGCAGTTCAAACTCACCAGTCACTCTCTGGAAATCCTACACAGGGTCATCATGAGTCAGAATCGATTCTCTGGCATAAAACATCACCACCACCACCCACTCATACACATCTGTGTCTGTCTGTCTATCTATCTATCTATCTATCTATCTATCTATCTATCTATCTATCTATCTATCTATCTATCCAGCTATCCAGCTATCCAGCTATCCAGCTATCCAGCTATCCAGCTATCTAGCTATCTAGCTATCTAGCTCTCACTGGTTTTGCTTCTCTAGAAAATCCAGCCTAAGACAGGAGCCAAGCAAAACAACATCTTTGACAACTTCAATCTTTTTTCCATATGTCATGATGTTACTTATTGATCCAGTGGTGAGGATTTATTTCTTTACACTGAGATGCAACCCATAGTGAAGTGTATAGTTTTTTATCTTCATCATAAGTATTTTAAGCCCTCTTAGCTTCTGGCAAGCAAGGTTGTGCTATTTGCATATTGCAGGTTGTTAATGAGTATTTCCCCAACCTGATACCATGTTCTTCTTCATATAATGTAGTTCAGCATACAGATTGAATAAATATGGTGAAAGGATACAACCCTGGTGCGTACCTTTCCTGATTTGAAACCATTCAATATCCCCTTGTTCTGTTCCAACAATTGCGTCTTAATCTATGCATAGGTGCCTCATGAACACAATGAAATGTTCTGGAATACCCATTATTCACAATGTTATCCATAGTTTGTTATAAGCTACAGTTTGATAAATGCTTTTGCATTTATAGTAAATAAAGCATAAGTAGACATCTTTTAGAAGATATTCTCTGCTTTCAGCCAAGATTCTTCCTATGTGAATACTTGAAACTCTCATTCCAAATACTCTTCTGACTCCAAGATCCTGTTTTTTTTTTTTTTTTTTTTTTTAAGATGGAACTGAAGCTACTCCCAGAGATTACTTTTAAGCCAAACAATAGACTGGTTTATAAAATGAACCATAACACTCACGAGGGATGTGATCCTTTAAGCAATCCACTATGCAAGATCAAGGAGCCCAGTGACTCTGTAGGATAAACACTGGACTGTGAACCACAAGGTCAGGATTCAAGCACATGAGTTGTTCTGTAAGGGAAAGACAAGGCGTTCTGCTCCTGCAAAGATTTACAGCTAAGAAACACTATACAGGATCGCTGTGAGTTGGTACCAAGTCAATGGCACTTAACAACGTACGAGACCAAGTGGTTAACAGTTATTCAAAAGCAAAGATGAGAAAGCAGGACAGAGAAACGGGAGGTACTGGAAATGGCGAGAATGCTGACACATTGCAGGGACTGTATCCAATGTCACAGAACAACTGGTGTTCGCAGTTCTGAATGGGAGTTGAATCTGCTGTATAAACTTTTACCTAAAACAATAAAATATTATTTAAAAACAACAGATGAAGAGCTAATTTCCCACTAAAGTACTACTACAAATGGAGGTAAAAGACTGCTTTTCAGCACAGGATACAGAAAAAACACAGTCACCCACCATTTCAACGGAAATTACTGGATAGCTGGGATGGCCAGCATCATCAAGTAGACTGAGATCCTGAGAAGGACGAGACCTCTCAAGGAGAACCGTCTCACCCTTGACACTGGCAATGGGGTGGAGGCTGCACTAACTCAAAAACTCTTTCCTGTAGCTTCCACTGAGTGCTCAGACTGGTGGATAAATGGTTTTCTGTTAAATTACTTCTGTGTTTTTACATAGGTTTTACTTTTTTTGGCCACAAAGTATAATTTTCATTTTATTTTCTTGCAGGGTAGTTTTACTTCAGCCTTTAAGGGCCCAATTGTTTACATGGGCTTTGGTGGCAGTTGTGGGACAGGACCTACGGGTCTAAATCAGGGTGTTCAGTCCTTCTGAGCTTCACGAGCACGGTTCCTGACCCCCTTGCTGTGAGTGACACAGCTCATACAATAATGTAGTTTCATGTACAGCTAGGGAAGCACATGTGCATCGAAGACACTCACTTCAGCAATATCCCTGATGGCTGAGGCCTCTACTATGTTTCCAATTACAGACTTCTTAATGGCCTTGTCTTTCGGCACGCAGCGGGCGCAGTCCATGGAGCTAACAGGCTGCATGTGGTCGCGGCCCTTTTTGGCAGTACTGTTGTTTCTCATTTTCTTTGTCATCTTGGAAGTGAGGACCCAAGAGAGAGCAAGTTTTACATATTTGTAATAACATATTTTTAAAACCCTGAAAATTGTAACACGTTTTCTCACCCTTAGGGTGATGGATGAGCAAAACAGAGAAAGATCCCCCAATGGGACAGATTGACACAGTGGCTGTAACAATGGGCTCAAACATAACAACAATTATGAGGATGGCACAGGACCAGGCAGTGTTTCTCTCTATTGTACAGAGGGGTTGCTATGAGTTGGAGCTGACTCAATGGCACCTATCAGTAACAATGGCGAATATTGAGTCCATTCAATTCAACAATTTGCCTCAATAAATTCATTTTCCTTTCTCAAAGTCAGTCAGTCACAAACAGATTTAATATAATAAATAGACCCTTGAAAGTCAACCAATTAAGAACAGTCTCACCAGAGCATCAGAGAGTGTGGTGGTTCCATAGTCCGCTGTTTGACCCACAAGCCTTTCTGCTCCCATGAATACTTAAAGCGTCAGAAATCCTATACAGGGTCACTATGAGTTGGAACCAACATGGCGGCACAATGACAACAATAACAATACCAGAGTATCCAGACTGTACAGATGATGGAAGTCTTTTATGGCTTGAAATCACACTTTTCCTGAATTGCACACTTCCCCAAAGCCCTGTGTAGGACCAGCAAGCTGCTCTGCTTGGAGACACAGCACCTATTTATCATAGCTCTCCCTTATGAGTACACTGTAATCAATTTAGTTTTATCTAAAAAGTTAGTTAAGAGCCTGAGTAATAGTCTCATCATACGCTGACAAACCAAACCCCACACCTAAGAGCATCACTTTGACTACTACGAAAGCAACATATTGGAGACATGTTAACAGTGGACGATGACATGCCAGTTAAGCCTGTTGAAGTAAACTCTTGGACTTACAAAAATTTTTTTAAATAAAATTAATTGGACATTAAACACTATATGAAAAAGTTTGTAGAGTCTAAAGAACTATTTGTAATTCATACAACAGACAAATAGACCACTCCATCAATTAGAAGAAAACCAAGTAACTCATCTGAAGAAATGAGCAAAGGACATGGAGAGACGGTTCCTAGAAAAGGTAATATAATTGACTCTTAATCATGTGAAAAAGAGGCTTAACCTCTTTGAACATACTAAAAATTCATAGTGAGACTTACACTATGATAGCCTTCCCCCCGCCCCCCACTAATTAGATTTGCAAATACTAAAAATCTTATTTAGGGATAATGTCACAAACAGGTTCTTTCCTGCATTGCTTTTGGGAGTGTACATTGGAGAAACTTTATAGAGAACAATTTGGCATAATCTGAAAAAAATTTAAAAGTACATTTATTTGATTTAGCAATTCTCTCCAGGGAATTTATCCAGTAGGTTAAGTCAACATATGGGTAATGGTCATTGTCTAGGCAATTTACTGACTCAAGCCATGGCATTTCAACACTCATCTGCATGTGAAAGTTGGACGATGAATAAGGAAGACTGAATAAGAATGGATGCATTTTGAGTTATGGTGTTGGAGAAGAATATTAAAGGTACCATGGAGTGCCAAAAGAACAAACAGATCTGAGTTGGAAGAAGTACCATCAGAATGTTCCTTAGAAACGAAGATGGCCAGACTTTATCTTTCATGCTTTGGACATATCATCAGGAGGGACCAGAGACTGAAGAAGGACATAATGGTCTCTCATAGCTGGGGATGGAAACTGGGATGGTTAACAGAAACTGTTCAGTGATGCCCTCCTCTCCCCTCCCCCCACCCTCAATACAAGTGGCGCTTAATGCGCCAGCTATACCTGCCGTACGTCAGATACGTGAGTCTGAAATGCGGATGTATGTCTGCAGGACAGGAAAGATCAGTGCGGCGAGTGTAGACATATGGAGCGTCAGTTCCATAAATATTGTCACTAAAAGGAAACAAATTACCCGCCAAAGCGATACATAGCTTACAAGACAAGGCTCAGTCTCACTTTCCAGCCAGCCCTTTCCCTCACGTCATTACGGAAGCGCACGTGAGCGTGGTCCTGCGTGACCGGCCAGGGCGTCACGTGAGCGGATGCGGTCATGTGACCCCATGCTTTGCTGGGCGCTGGCAGGTTGTTTGGGTTTGCTATACAGCAGTTGCCGCCGAGTTTGTATCGCTCTTTCTCACTGACCTAATGGAGGAAGAGGATGAGGAAGCGCGGTCGTTGCTGGCAGGCGGCTCCGAGGATGCCGGCAGAGGTCCCCCTGCTACTCCCGCGGCCCCCAGGATCCTGTCGGCCGTCTGCGACCCCAGTCGCCTGGCGCACCGACTTTTGGTGCTGTCGCTGATGTGCTTTCTTGGCTTTGGTGAGCTGTCTTGCTGGGCAGGGAGGGGCTGACAATAGAGGATTTCCTAGATTTCTCTTGGAAAGTCAAAGAACCCCGAGATCCGCACCGAGTCCACTGGTACCACAGATTTTCTTCTCCCTTCTCTCCCCATAGGGACCTGCTTGTGGACGCTGCTACTTAGTCGTTCTCCCGAAGGTGGAGTCGGGGGACTGATGTGGGCAAGTTTTGGCCCTCTATCCTCTCTGATGAGCCTGAGAGGGTAGCAGTTCGTTCCGTGGGACCAAAGATAGGAAGTATCTTTTCCAATCTTCACCATTTCTGTTAATATATATTCAGAAGCTTTAATCACATTCTGCGCCCTTCTGACCCCAACAACGATCAGAAACCCCACAAAAACCAAAACTAATCTAAAAAAATTTAAAGATTTCATTGATAATCTTTTCTGTTGCACACCCTAACTGAGAAAATGCATGAATGTATTTTACTGATTGCTTCAGATGGCTTCTTTTGCTCTTCCGCTCTGCCACTGTGAAACAATTGTACCGTATTGAGATATGTGATAAATTTGACGGTAGATGGTTTCACTTATGAAATCTGATGGCTCTGAAAACAATTTCTTGAGATATTTTTAAAAACAACTTCCTGCGTCCCAGTTTTTGATTCATTCAGCAACTACTTTAAAAGTCACTATTAGTTTGGTATGAAAGGAATAATGTGTTTTTCAGGATGACAGCTGAAACACGGACAATAAGCAGACTTTTTACCTTATGAGTGCTTGAGCTTCTAGTACAAACATTTAAATTTTCCATCTGAATAATAGTTACAACTTGAAACTTTTGTAGGGACATTATTATTACTTATAATATATTTGTTCTTCCCTTTTCTAGGTAGTTATTTTTGCTATGATAACCCTGCTGCCCTTCAGACTCAGATTCAGCGAGTAAGTTAATATTTCACATGCATTTCTTTTGTTTGCTTTGAGGCAGATTATCACCATTGAAATTCCATCAGTTCTCAGGCTGCCTAGCCTGAAGTTGTTGTTGTTATGTGTCGTGGAGTCAGTTCCGACTCATAGCGACCCTGTGCAGGATTTCCGAGGCTGTAAATCTTTACGGGAGCAGAAAGCCTCATCTTTCTCCCGCGGAATAGCTGGTAGTTTCGAACTGCTGACTGAGGATAACAGCCCAATTCGTAACCACTACGCTACCAGAGCTCCTTTAGCCTGAAGTATTGCCCACTAAATTTACTTTCACATCTATAATTACCAAGTTAGGGAACCACAAGGAGCTACCTCAAATGGAATAAGTGGCACAAAGAATTTATTAATAGCACATATCACTTTAAATTATTTCACAGCTTAGGTATATAAGTATGTGCTGTTTCCACAGAATTGCCCAACACTATTAGTCGATTTTTGTTTGCATTTCACTCTCCCATTGCTTGGTCACCAAAATGAAAAGTGATTTGATCAGATAATTTTTTTACTTATTAAATATGCTGTTATTTTTATTTGTTTTTAAAAACATGGATGTTGATTGCAGAAGTTTCTGTATCAATAGTAATTGTCATTTTATTTGTATTATAAAAATATTTTTACTATTTACATTTTTATGGGTTTTTAAATAGTCTTTTTCCTTTGTATAGATTTTTTTTTTTTTAACCTTTGGACAGGTTAAAATGTGTAGTTTGTCCCTTTGCATGCTAAAAAGGAAGGGAAAGGTAGAAGGCATTGGTGTGGAATGAGGATGGAGTAAGACTATCCTTTCTGTGTGGGAGGACCCCCTCCCCCCACCAATACAGGTAGTGTAGAGGAACAAGAATGTAGATGATGCAGTCTGATATAGTTGGGGATCTATTTAGCAGGGCATCTGAACCTGGGATCATGAAACACCTGAAATGGAATGTGGATTCCTGGGTGACTGTGCATTTTTCAAGGGCAAGACCATAGCTTTCATGAGGTTCTCAAAAGCAATTGTGTTGTTGTTAAGTGCCGTCAAGTCGATGCTGACCCATAGCAATCTTGTATAGGGTTTCCAAGGAGCAGCTTGGTGAGCTTTAATCACTGACCTTGCAGTTCAAATGGCTTTGCCTGTCCTCTGGTGCATTAATCCACAGTGCCACACCAGGACTCCCTCAAAGCAATTAGCAAAAGACAAATGGCTAAGAAACCCCTGCCCTACACAGAAAGAATGAATGTAATGTTATTGTTTGATTTCAGTTTAGATTGTTATGCTTTGATTTGTTAGTTGCTAAACTTACATGTTTGAAACAGTAGTTTTATTTTCTTTCCATATAGGATATGCAAGTGAATACCACAAAATTCATGTTTCTGTATGCCTGGTATTCTTGGCCTAATGTAGTTTTGTGTTTCTTTGGTGGCTTTTTGATAGACCGAGTATTTGGAATACGGTAAGTGCGAAAAAAAATCTTGCCTTTGGTAAAAACTGATTATTAGGAAAATACAGAACTAAATGAAGGCTATTTCTAGAAAGAATTAAATGAATTTCTGTACTGACTCTACTCATTTGTTTTGTTTTTGCTTCCCTGCTTCCCCTCCCCTTCTACGATCTTTATGTTTTTCTGGAATTGGGTTTTGAAACTTGACTGACATTTCTTAAACTAATTAGGTCAGAACTAGTAAATGATGTAAATGGAATAATGTAACTCAGTTTTATAGAGGTAGATTTGGCCCACACTTGGGATCAGAAAAACTAGGGTCTGAATTTCATTGCTGCAACTTGCTCTATATTCTAATAGTATGACTTTCTGAACTTCTGTTATATCATTGGTAAAATTCAGAAAGCATCTCCTACCTTGAAATGTGGTTATGAAGATTAAGGAAAGATAAACATAATGTACTTAACAAATAAGCAGTATGTGCCTCCCTAGCCTTAGTGAGATTTTCTCTTTCCCTGTCTGCCTTTCTTTAGGCACTTTCTTTGGGTCTTTTGTGACCACTTCTGTTAGATGCTGAGAAAAGAATCACATCATAAGTTTTGTTATTTTTTATTCTTAAGGTTTTTTTTTGGTGTGTGTGCTGTTAGTTATTGTTATGTGCTATTGAGTCAGTTCCAGTTCATACAGGGTTTCTGAGGAGCGGCTGCTGAGTTTGAACTACCAACCTTATGGTTCAAATTACTTTAGTCCAGTGCTTATCCTATGGCTCCATATCAGGACTCCAGGTTGTTACTGGAGAATTTAAAAAGCATGTAAACTAGGAATATTTTCAGAAGACAAGAACCAAGATGATTAAGGGTTTTCAGGCCAGGTCAGGTAAATAAGAGTTGAAGAAACTGTAAGTGTCTAGACTACAGTGTTCAGAACTAACTTTAAGAGATTTTGGAGACTTAGAATATGAATGAAGAATTGATTATTCTTTTCTTCTTAATCCCAGGGTATAGAACTAGCTTGAAACCTCAGGCGGTACAGATTCCACTTAGTGTGAAACTTTGCTAGGTCAGGTTGCCTGGAGGTGCTGTGAAGTGTATTAGAACCATAGTGAGTTTTCCAGTCCTGAAGAACATTCAGTAGAATATGGTACGGCCATTTGAGAAGGATGTTCGTTTCAGAATATGGTTTACTTGGATGACATTGAATAACTCTTCTAATGCTGGCATTTTGTTACTATAGAGGAATAATTAGTCCGATACCAATTGTAGAATGTTATATTACCCATACTTATAATTATATTAACATGGTTGATATATTAACATGGTTGATGTTTATTCTTTTAAAAATAGTTTTCCATTATCAAGAATCTTAACCTCTTAAAATAATCTAATCTGGAATTTTTAGAATCAGTCCTAAACTGATTCTATTAATAAGAATTCTATTAATAAGAATTTTGTAAAGCATTTCTATATTTATAGTTTGATCCTGGGAACATTTGCTTGTTTTTTGTTTTTTTAAAAAATCAAATCTTAACTTTATTAAGATAACATGATTATGTAGTAAATGTAAAAACAAAATAAGGGGACCATATATGTAGCATAACTGGAAGATATGCTTTGTTGTTGTTGTTGTTAAATGCCGTTGAGTCGGGTCCGACCCATAGCGACCCTGTACAGGGTTTCCGAGGGTGTAAATCTTTACGGGAGTAGAAAGCCTCATCTTTCTCCCGCGGAGCAGCTGGTAGTTTCGAACCGCTGACCTTAAGGTTCGCAGCCCGATTCGTAACCATTACGCTATGCTTAGGTATCAATTACTTTTTCTGTGGGAAAAAGAGACTTTCTACTTCCAGTAAACATTTACAATCTCTGAAACCCTGTATGGCATACAAAAACAGACATTAATTCTTGGCTGTCTATACTTAGTGTCTCTAGTAGTCTTCCCTAAGCAGAATTGCTAAGGAACCTTGAAATCATGTTCTAGCATTGATCCTCTGTTCTATCTTCAATTTAGCAAAGTGTCTGTCACAAAATAGATACTAAATAAATGGGTATTGAATTGAATATATCTTTCTGGAAGTGGGAAGGAAGTCCAGAAATTTAAAGACTTCTGGTCAGGTGGCTGTAAGTATTCTATAAAGTGTCTCCCTTCATCCCCTCTCTCCTCCCTGGCCCCTCCACTCTGCAAACTATCCAGTCTATCCTCACCAGACTCCTGGTCTTACTAAAAGATCATAACCTATCTCAGATCCAGCATGGACAACATTCTTTTCATTTCATGAACCGTGCTTTTTCTTTGAAGAAAAAGAAGTGTTCCATGGTCCTAAAATGACACCAGAACCTCAATAACCCATTACTCCATGCAGATATTAAACTACTTTCTGAGGATTGGCAAGGGGAAGGGATTTAGGTGAGTTTTTTCCCCTCAGTTTTAGCAGACCCCAGGAACATCTTAAAGATTATTTAATAAATCTTGTTTAAGGGATCATAACAGATTAATTTAACATGTGTATTACTGAAGACTGGAACCCCCATATTAACTCTAGACTTGAAACTAGTGGGGCTTATGACTGCTAGGAAGTTCAGTCTAGGAAAGCTGCTGACATTAGAAGCACACCAACAATTCATTTTTCTTACCTCAGAGGAGTATAGCAGTGACAAAAACAAACATAAAGTGAAAATTACTATGGCTAGCTGGCTGTATGCCAGTGAGTTGGTTCTGAATTGTTGCGACCCTGTATAATGTTTCTAGGGCTGTAAATCTTTATGGGATTAGAAAGTTTCTTTCTCCTGAGAAGCACCTGGTGGATTTGACCTGCTTGTGGTCAGCAGCCCAATGCAGAACCTACTAAGCCATCAAGGCTCCTTCAATATGTTGTTTTTTTTAAGTGCTGTGGAGTCGGTTCTGACTCATAGCAACCTGTATAGGATTTCCATGGAGCACCTGGTGGGTTTGAACTGCCGACCTTGTGGTTAGTAGACCTGTACTGATCCTACATACCCACACCAGAATATTACTGTGTTGTTAGGTGCCATCTAGTCAGTACCGACTCATAGCGACCTTATGCACAGCAGAATGAAACACTGCCCAATCTTGGGCCAACCTTACTACTGTTGCCACGCTTGAGTCCATCAATGCTGCCACTTGGCCAATCCATCTCTATAGTACTTGATAATTGAATTAATAGGAATGTACTTCTTGTTCATATTCATTCTTTCGATGTCTCTCTCTCTCTCTTTCTCTAACAGATGGGGCACCATTATTTTTAGCTGCTTTGTTTGCATTGGACAGGTAAGGAAGACCAAGTGTCCCTGGATCATGTGACAGTGACTTTAAATTCTTACCTAATTCCATAAGGAAAGATATGTTTAATGAAAACCTAAAGTAATTCTAGACGGCTAACAGAGGTGAGCAGTTCCAATCCACCAGCCACTCTTCAGAAGACAGATGAGGCTTTCTCCTCCTGTAAAGATGTACAGCCTATTATTGTTGTTGTTTTTGTTAATGTGCCGTCGAGTCAGTTCCGAGGAGCAGCTGGTGGATTTGAACTACCGACTTTGAGGTTCATAGTCTAGTGCTTATCCTACAGCGTCACACCAGGAGTTTTCGGAAACCCTGTTTAGGTTTGTTATTAGTTGGAATTGACTCCATGGGAGTGGGTTTGGTTTTTGGAATGTAATTAAATATGGTCTACAAATGACTGTGTGGTGTACTGCATAGTCCTGTTTTAAGCCTCAGTTCAGATTAACATTAATATGTGTATTTTTACATCATAGACTTACTAACAAGGAATCTTATAATCAGTGTAAAGGTTGTGATTCATTATAAGTTACTTATTGTTTCTCTTTAATACCTTGAATTTACTTTTTCATTGATTGCAGAATTCTGCATTTTAGGTTATTTTTGCTCTAGGTGGAATATTTAATGCTTTCTGGCTAATGGAATTTGGAAGGTTTATATTTGGGTAAGTTATATATAATTTTATTTATGCTAATATATTGTTATGTTGCAGTTCATCTAGTAATGCATTGTTGTTGTTGTTGAGTGCCATCGAGTCGGTTCCGACCCATAGCGACCCTGTACAGGGTTTCCGAGGGTGTAAATCTTTACGGGAGTAGAAAGCCTCATCTATCTCCCGCGGAGCAGCTGGTAGTTTCGAACCGTTGACCTTAAGGTTCACAGCCCGATTCGTAACCACTACGCTACCAGAGATGCATTAAGGATTAAAAAATGTTATTCTCTCTTCTGGAGAGCTTTTTCAAAACTTTGAAATCTAGTCACATCTATATAATTCACAAATTTTCATAGTTGTCTTAATTTTCCTTTTTTTTTTAAAAGAAAAGGCAAAAGTTTGGAGGAACTATTGTTAAGTGCCGTCGAGTTGACTCCGACTCATAGCAACCTTGTATAGGGTTTCTGAGGAGCAGCTGGTGAGCTTGAACTGCCAACCTTGCAGTTCAAGTGACTTTGCAGTCTGGTGCATTAACCCCCAGCACCACACCAGGATTCCAAAAGTTTTGAGTGGTTGTAGTTAATTCTCTGTGGAGTTTGATTGTTAAATAGTTCTCCAGAATGTGGTGGTATTTTTCCTAGAAATTTTTGTTTGTACTGTAGTATTGTATTGAAGAGTAGGATTTAAACTTCATTTAAAAATGGATAGACCATCAAGTTCTGAGTTAGCTATTCATGGGCATTTCACTATTTTTTAGTTGGGTGATGCGCAGGTGTGCTTTGGGCCCTCTTCAAGAGGCTGATTGCTTTACATGACTGTCAGTGTCTCTTCAGTTAGCCCATTCTGAGTCCAGCCCTAGGCTTAGGGCTTATTGCCTTGAGGGAAGCAGATGACCTAACTTATTCATGCTTTAACTTAAAAGTATCACTTAGTCATACTTTTCACAGTTACCAGGGACATGTGCACATATGTGACATATCCCAAGAATGCTCTAAAGTCAGAGAAGGAAACTAAATGTAGATAAAAATTGGAAAGGAATTCAGAGAAGGAAATGTGGTCAGAAATGGCCTCTTGGATGAAGTAGCCTTGATAGAAGGCTAGATTTGGGTTAGTAGGAGAGTGGGAAAATACTTTTGACCTAGGCTGGAGTGGTGAAAGGGTTCAGTATTAGAGGATACAGAGGAGGGGAGGTTCCTGACTACAGGTTTGGGGGCAGATTGGAAAGTATGGGAAACTAACTGAAGCAGTGTTAAAAGCCAAGAGGTCAGATAAAGTGAGTATGGAAAGTGAGTTGGGGGATTGATTGATGGAGAACTTGACTGTTGGTCTGAAAAGTGTAAATTTGTGTATTTTCACAAAGTATGGATCCCTCGCCCCACATCAACATTTGATAATATAGAAGGTTATGTAGTAAGCCAGACTCCCTTTATTGTCTGTTGTTATTGTTGTTGTTAAGTGCTGTTGAGTCACTTTTGACCCATAGCGACCCTATGTCTGGTTTCCAAGGAGCGCCTTGTGAGCTTGAACTGCCAACCTTGAGGTTCAAACCAACTTTGTAGTACAGCGCATTAACCCACAGCGCCACACCAGGACTCCTTTATTGTCTCTTAGCAGTTACTTTTATTACCCTCGCCCATTGCTGTTGAATGATCCATGTGGCACAAACAGTTAAATGCTTGACTGCTAACAGAAAGGTTGGCAGTTTGAACCCACCCAGAGACACCTTGGAAGAAAGGTGTAATGATCTACTTTCAAAAGGTCACAGCCTTGAAAACATGTGGAGCAGTTCTACTGTGCACACGTGGGTTTGCCTTGACAGTTATTATTACCATAAAACTTAGTGTAAAGGCACAATTCATTATGCTCCAGGGCTTTGCGGGTCAGCTGTTTGGGCAAGGGTATGCATGATGGAGACTCAGCGAAGGCTGGGAGCTGGTGTCATCTGAAGGCTTGTTGACTCGTGTGTCTGGCACCTGGGCTTCAATGACTTGAAGGTGAGGACAAACGACTAAAACACTTCTACGTGGACATGACTCAGGTCGGTGGCTCACAGCTCCACATGCCAGTGTCAGCATTTGCCATGTACCCTTTTATGACCCACGGAATCACAGCATCAATTGCATTAGGTTTCATAAGCCCACCTACTTTTAAGGTGAGGGCTTGAGACTAGAACCCACCTCTTGATAGGAGGACTGAAAAAAAAAAATTGAGACCACTGTATTGCCTAGCAGAGTCCTGGTGGGGCAGTGGTTAAAGCACTTGGCTGCTAAACAAAAGGTCATGCCAACAGCTGCTCCATGAGACGAAGATGTGGCAGTGTGTTCCTGTAAAGATCTCTGGACCATTCTACCTTGTCTTTTATGGTTGCTGTGGATCGGAATTGACTCGATAGTGATGGGACTTGATACCGTCTAACGATGATATATTTGATATCATCTAACTGTAGGAGTCCTGGTGTGGTGCTGTGGGTTAATGTGCTGGACTGCAACGTTGTTTTGAATTGCAAGGCTGACAGTTCAAGCTCACCAGCTGCTCCTTGGAAACCCTATACAGAGTCGCTGTGGGTTGGAATTGACAGGACAGAACTTAACAACAACAACAACTGTGATATTACTGTTTGAAAGCTATGACTTTCTCTTTAACTCTAGTGTTAATTTAGAAGCTATGATTTTTCTTTTGTCTTCCTTTTTCAGAACTGGTGGGGAGTCCTTAGCAGTTGCCCAGAATACCTATGCTGTGAGTTGGTTTAAAGGCAAAGAATTAAACCTGGTGTTTGGACTCCAACTTAGCATGGCTAGAATTGTAAGTATGCTAACAAATGTAACACAGCCAAATAGGATGCAAAAGATTGGATCTAAAAAGCCTTAAAAGTCATGGAATGAAATATGTGTGCTTGTGTGTGGTAAGTTAGGTATTTTGGGAAACTGTTGAAGTTTTAATTTTTTTAATGTATTTCCCTAGACTATGGTATAGCATTTACCTTACAGGCAGTTCCAACCTTATTTCAGCTGGGAAACAGTCTAAAATGGCTAACTGAATGCTTGTTAGTGCAAAGAATCTGAGCTTTGGCTGGGATCCTGTAGGTTCCGTAGCCTAATTTCTTACCCATTTTCGGCCTCACTGCTGCTCAAGTCTTCACACGTGGTCATCCAGGCTCTGTTTGCATATTCTGTGATTGGGAGGAGCTTGCTCTGTGAAGGAGCAGCCCATTCAGTTTTGTATAGCTTCAACTTTCTGAAGCTTAATCTTGTACAGAGATGAAATCTACCTTCATCTTTTAATGATTACTCTCAGTTAGCTTTCTTCTTTTCCTGTGAGAACGTTTTACTCAGTTGAAGACTGCGCTTTAAGTTCTTTATTGTTGTTGTTAATTTCGACTCACAGCAACCCTATATAAGGTTTCTGAGGAGCGGCTGGTGAGCTTGAACCACTGTCCTTGCGGTTCAAACCAACCTTGTAGTCCAGTGCATTAACCTGCAGTGTCACACCAGCTGTTTAAGCCACGTGGCATGGTTTCCACTTCCTTTTCCATGTTGCTCATGCCTCTGTGGACATACTTCCATTAGCTAGTGCTCCTCCTAGCATTATCTTTGTTGTTGTTGTTGTTGCTGTTGCTGTTGTTGTTAAGTGCTGTCGAGTCAGTTCTGACCCATAGCGACTCTGTATAGGGTTTCTGAGGAGCAACCGGTGAGCTTGAACTGCCGACCTTGCAGCTCAAAGTGACTTTGCAGTCTGGCATATTAATCCACAACACCACACCAGGACTCCTAGCATTAGGAACCTAGAATTGGTCATGATGTTCTATTTATTAATATATTTATTAATATAACAAAATGCTTTGACAGTCCCAAGTCCCATTATGTTTTTTCCTCATAAATCCCTATGAGTAGAGGTTTGCTTGCTTTCTTTTCAAATCCTTGCCCATTAAAAATCAAGTTTTCATGTTATGTTGCTGGCATTGAAGATTGAGGAAGATGCCACAAGGCAAGGAATTCAGGGAGTTTTTTTTTTGTTGTTGTTAGGTGCCATCGAGTTGGTACCGACCCATAGTGACCTTATGCACAGAACGAAACACTGCCCTCTCCTGAGCCAACCTTACTATCGTTGCCACACTTGAGCCCATTGATGTGGCCACTTGGCCAACCCATCTTGCTGGGGGTCTTGCTCTTTTTCTCTGACCCTCCACCTTACCAAACATGATATCCTTCTCCAGCGACTGGTCCCTCCTGACAATATGTCCGAAGTATGACAGACGAAGTTTGGCCATCCTGGCCTCCAAGGAGCACTCTGGCTGCACTTCTTCCAACAGGGAGCCTTTAGAAGCTGGAAAAGACAAGGAAACAGATTCTTCCATAAAGCCTCCATAAAGGAATGCAACTTTGCCGACACCTTGATATTAGCCCTGTGAGGACAGACTTAGACTACTAAGCTATGGAACTGTAAGACCCTAAATTTGTGTTGTTTTAAACCATTGAACTTGTGGTAGTTTGTCACAGCAGCAATAGAAAACTAACACAATAATGAAGACCTAGCTAGTCACACCCAGCTCTCAACTTTTAACGGTAAATGCTCCATCCTCCCACATTTTCACTGTTAACACTGTAGCACGTATTCTGGTTTTCAAAAATCAAGTTTTCAAAGTCTAATAAGTGGCATGAAAATTTAAAAATTTTTTATCATGGTAAAATGTCTGTGATAAAACATTTGGCCTCTGATCATTTTAAAGTATAAATGGAGTGACATCAGTTATAGTTCCCATGTTGTACAGCCATCACCACTATTCTCTAAGCAGAAACTCAGTACCTTTCCAATGGTAACTCCTCACTGTCCCTCTCCAGTCCCTGGTAACCACTGCTAACTTTGGTTTCTATGTATTTGGCGAGTCTAGATATTTTATACAACTGGAATCATAAAATATTTGTTGTTTTTTAATTCACTCAGCATGATGTGTTGTTCAAGGTTCATCCATGTTGTGGCGTGTATCAGAACTTTATTTCTCTTGTGGCTGGATACTATCCCACTGTATATGTATCATGTACCACATTTCATTTATTCATACATCTGTTGATGGACACTTGAGATTCTTTTGTATGTTTTGGCTGCTGTGAATAATGCTACAGTGAACATTGGTGAGCCCCTGCTTTGAGGTATATACCTAGTAATAGAATTGCTGGGTCATGTGATTCTTTGCTTAACTTTTCGAGGAACTATCAAACTGTTTCCCATAGTGGCTGGACTGTTTGAAATTCCCATCAGCAATGTATGAAGGTTCCAGGTTCTGCATATTCTTGCCAACTGTTTTATTTCCATTTTCCCGATAATAGCCATCCTAGTGGGTATACACAGTGTCATTGTTGACTTGATTTCAATTTCTCTAGTGAGTGATGATGAGCACCTTCTCATATGCTTATTGTTCATCTATATATCTTCTCTGGACTCCTGGTGTGGCACTGTAAGATCAACAGTGGACTGTGAACCACAAAGCTGGCAGTTCAAACCCATCAACTGTTCCTCGGAAACCCTATGCAGAGTCACTGTGAGTCGGGACCAACTCAGTGGCACTTAAGAACAGCAGTATACCTTCTTTACACTTGCTTTCTTTCCTCTCTAAGAGTATGTTAGAAACATGCAAACTATTTATTAGTCTTTGAAAGCTTGATTTGTAATGGCAATATTGTGTTTTTCTATACTTAGATTAAAGACATTTAAAAATTTTTTCATGAATGTTGTTGTTAGGTGCCATCGAGTGGGTTCCGACTCACAGAATGAAACACTGCCTGGTTCTGTGCCATTCTCACAGTTGTTATGTTTGAGCCCTTTGCTGATGCCACTATGTCAGTTCATCTCATTGGGGGCTCTTCCTCTTTCACACTGACCCTCTACTTCACCAAGCACGCTGTCCATCTCCAGGGACTGGTCCTTGAATAGAGTTGTAATAAGACACTTTATCTGTAAATGTGTCTGCGTTTGTGATTGTTCCCTTAGGCTAAATTGCTGGAGTCAGAGGGTATGTTAGGATTCTTGAGCTATTTCCTTCTGTGTTATTTTCCCAATAAAGATTATATCTCCAGTGTATGGGATATGAGGGCATCCACTGCAATCTTACAGTCTCCTCCTCTGCTTAGGAAATATATTTTTCCTACTTGTTAAAACACTTAATCACTATTTAATATACTACATATTTTATTTTGTTTACCCCAGTAAAATGTGAACTCTAATGAGAACTGGAAAGTTTTCTGTTCTTTGCTCTCTTCCAGTTATCTGGAACAGTGACTGACATGTATTCGGGCTCAGTAATTGCTGGATGAATGAAAAAAATGAATGAGGATACTATCTAATACAACTTATACTATCCTTTATAGACAGAGGAAATATTTCTTTCAGATCTCAGTACCAGGAAAAACTGTGCTTTTTCTGAGCTGTCATATTTTTGTCTTAGGTACCCTGTCCCTGTGAGCTTTGTAACTCATGGTGCTTCCTTTCTGCTTTTGCTGTAGGCAGTTCTAAATCTATGATAGTTCGCTGCTAGTATTTTCTTTAAATCAGTATTTTTGTGTAGTAATCTTACCTGTGGCTTGATCTTAGTTTGCTGGTTTTTTCCTCATAGTGTGTTGTTTTGTTTTTTTTAAACTGTTTAAAAAGCAGAATTGTACATATTTTTCTAAGTCACCTCAGATCAGAGGAAACGTGTAGATAATTAAATATGCTGCTGGTGTTTTCATTCTCTTTTAGGGAAGTACAGTCAACATGAACCTCATGGGATGGCTGTATTCTCAGATGGAAGCTTCACTGGGTGCTGCTGGCCCCATGACCCTTGGAGTCACACTTATGATCGGTCAGTGAGTCCTGATGGCCCGCATGGCCTCTTGTTGAAACTCTGTCACCGAAAGTGCCATGGCAGAGTGGAAAGAGCTCTGGAATCCATGTTAATCCAAAAACAAAACTTCAATTGTAGTTTTGTTTCTAGTTAGATCTTTGACTTAACTAGAAATAGCAAATCATTTGCCACCCTATCTGTATTTTAATTTCACTTTTTGAAAAGGAAGGATTGTATTCTACCTGCTTACTTCAGTGCTGTAGTGATAACAAATGAAAAGTGTATGTGAATACTCTGATAACACTCTAGAAATTCTTAAGTGGAAATTATGATCTGTATCAGAATTTGTGGGAGAAAGCTAAGGGTTCTGCTCCCACGAAGATTTTCTTTATAAAAATTTTTATTGTAAACTGAGCGATAGTTTACATGGGAGAACATCTGCTTTACACCATCATTTCATTGCAATGATTACAGTCTTCTGTGCATCATCATTCAACAGTATTTGTTTCCATTCCCTCTGTTTTTTTTTGGGGGGGGGGCAGTAGAGAGGGAATGATGTACACAAAAACACTCAAGAATATATAATCATTTAAACAACTAAAGAGCGCATTCTGCAACCATGCCTCCTGTCTGCCAACATTCAGTCTCTCTCTTTCCATGAGTCCAGAGTCCTCAGCTGCTCCCTCTCTTCATGTCCTCATCTCTGCCTCCATCTCTGGTGTTGCTGCTTCTCTGGATAGGGTCCCACATTCCCTTTATGCTCTTCTCCCTTGATGGTCCTAGGGTCCTCTGCTTCTGGACTGTAATATTAACTACTCCTCCATTTTTGTTATAGAACCTCTACTTTTACAGTTGTGACAATTGCAATTAGTCATGATAACAGTTACTCACTGTTGAATCACAAGAATCCTATTCCCCATCTCCTTTCACCAGACCCATCTAGACAAGATGAAAACTATTCAGTGGGGACTCTACCGCCCCTTGCACACTCTTTTTTTTAAAAAAGTTTTTATTGTGAATTATGTTTCATTGCAATGATTACAATCCCTTGCATGCATCATCAAACAACCAAAGGGTACACCCCACATGCCCACCCCCCGGCCATCAGCACACAGCCTCACTTCCTCCCTGAGTCTAGAGTCCCCAGCTGCTCCTTCTCCCCACGTCATCACCCACACACTTTTAAACTCCCTCTTGAAAACTTGTAAGCCAGTCACTTCGTGCCTTTATCATCCTCTCATTTTAAGTAGCCAGTGTCTAAATTGCCCATCCCTGTCTACTCTGTATACCGAGGGGATAGGATTGATACTTGATGTGAAGACTCCTTCCCTCTCAGTTGGTACCATGAGCTACTACATCCATAAGCATATGTTCATCAAATTTTAGCAATTAACACTCATTTCCTTCATCAAAAATTGTTTTTTAAAATCTAGTCGAGTTCTAAGGAGCTCTGGTGGCGTAGTGGTTACGAATTGGGCTGCTAACCTCAAGGTCAGCTGTTCGAAACTACCAGTTGTTCTGCAGGAGAAATATGAGACTTTCTGCTCACGTAAAGATTTGCAGCCTTAGAAACCCTGTGCAGGGTCGCTATGAGTCAGAACCGACTCCACGGTACTTAACAACAATAGTCGAGTTCTGATTATCAAGTCATCAAAGCTAGGTCAAATGGGCACTGTCTGCAAGTTTGGGCATTATTGGGCATCTCCCCTCACTTCATATCAGCTGGATGCTTCACTCTCAGCCTCTAGCCCTATGTGGCTGTGCCCTTGTCCTTGGGCTCAGGAGTCCCCAGGTATCACCACACTTCAGACCAACCAGTCCTTCCTCTTCTCTCTCTCATCTCCAGGTCAATGAGAATCTGTGGAACATGGCTGAACTCAGCCCATTTCTTCATTGCTGCCTTTCTCCCTCTTCCACTCACCAGTAGACAAATGTGGTTGTCAGCAAGATTACATGGCTGCTCATGTGTTCCCTTTGAGTTTCAGTCTTGGAGGGGGGTTTGTCCTGAAGGGACTTGATTGCTTGCCTTGATGACTCTCCCATGAAGATTTAAAGCCTCAGAAACCCCATACAGCATCACTATGAGTTGGCAACGACTTGATGGCACTTAACAACAATAGCAATATATCAGAAGTTAGAGTTGTTTTCTTTTGATTAATTTCAGTCAGTAGGTACATAGAGATTAGATTTTCTAAAAGTCATAGGTGACATCATAGGGTTGAGTGTCCATTCACTAATTTGGAAGTCAGAAGTCTGGATTCTAGTTATGGCTCTAACTGTTTCTGTAATCCTGGACAAGGAAGTTGCTTTAAAGACTACACAGATAGATACTTTCAGTCCCCAAGTTCTTATAGTTAAGGCTGCATGGTACTAGTTGCTGGTGGGTTCACTGAGAAATGTATGCGATCCCTGGATTCACCACCCATGCTTTTATATAAGTAAATAGCTCACCACAGAACCCTAGAGAGACCTGTCGTATTGGTAGTGAATGGATTTGCATATCTCTTGTCCTCTGTAATCCCTGGATGTAACTAACCCTGGTAGAAAGAAGGTGGTGGTGGTGGTGATTGTGTGCTGTAGAGTCGGTTCCATCTCATAGACACCCTGTGTCTAGGCTGTAAATCTTTACGGAAGCAGAAAGCCTCATCTGTCTTCTGTGGAGTGGCTGGTAGATTCAAACTGATGACCTTGAGGTTAGAATTCCAACTTGTAACCTACTATGCTACCAGAGCTCCTTAGAAAGAAGATGTTGTTGTTAAGTGCTGTTGAGCTGGTTCCGACTTGTAGTGACCCTGTGGAGAATTTCCAAGGAGTGATTGGTGAGTCTGAACTGCTGACCTTGTGGTTCAAACCGACCTTGTGGACCAGTGCTTATGGAGAAATAATCCTACAAAGGCAAAACTCCTCCATTTTTCCTCTTTACCTTGCTTAGAACTTTCTTAACTCTTAAATGCTTCTCATTATTCCCTCCAGTTCCCCACACATTGGAGAACTTTAGAATTTTAGAGCTAGAAAAAGACCTGGGCCAACTGCAAATCAGTTCCTTTTTACAGATGGGGAAATTGAAGTCCAGAAAGGTTAAGATTTGTGTCCAAGGTAATTCAGCTTCTTAGTTTTAGAACTGGAATCTACGGCTAGTGATTCTCATTTAAATGATTTTCAACTGCACCATATTAGGTCAACCACTTAAAGATCCATTTATACCCAGCCTTTAAAAATTTTTGAGAAGGGTAAATTTATTCCCTCTTAGTTGTGATTCCCTCCTACTTTAGTGATAGGAGATCAACATGAGTGAGTAATGCTGAATATGCAAAGGAAGGAGAAACCCTGAAAGCGGTGCCTTGTGAGGATGGGACCCTTTGAGTAGGCATAGAGATTGCAGACTTTGGGATGAAGCTGAAGGGAGAGGAGGTAGTAATTTCAGAATCAGACTGCTTTTTAATCGTTTTCTCTGTCATCCATGGATAATTGTTGTTGTTATGTGACATCAAGTTGGTTCTGACTCAGTGGCTCTGCATAGGATTTCCAAGGAACAGCTGGTGGGTTTGAACCACCAACCTTGTGGTTAGCAGTCCAGTGCTTATCCTACAGTGCCACACCAGGACTGTGCTTAAAAATGCTGTTGACCGAAATGAGGACTGATTTTTCAGCCTGTTACAAGCTTTCCTCAGTCTGTACTCTGCAGACTAGTTTGTTCTAATCTTGTCCCTTTATCCTCCAACCTTAAAATAATAAAGCCAAAAACCAAACCCACTGCTATCAAGTTAATTGCAATTCATAGCTCATCTGTTGGACAGACTCGAACTACCTCATGTAGTTTCCCAAACTGTAATCTTTAGGAAAATAGACTTCCTCATTGTTTTCTCTTGGAGTGGCTGGTGGATTTGAACCACTAACCTTTTGGTTAGCAGCCAGGTGCTTAACCACTACGCCATCGGCGCTCCTCTTTATAGTAATAGTGTCTGCCATTTTTATGCTTTCCATGCATTCTATGTTTTCCCTTCCTCCTCACTAGGGCTTTTCCTTTTTTTGTCTTTAGATGCTGCCCGGTCCCCTTGCTATTTTTTGTGTAGGCCATGTGCTGTCTTTAACAAGCCTTCAGGCTGATTCTCCCTAAAATCTCTCTCTCTTTTAACTGTAGGAGGTATAACGTGTATTCTTTCATTAATCTGTGCCTTGGCCCTTGCTTACTTGGATCAGAGAGCAGAAAGAATCCTTCACAAAGAACAAGGACAAACAGGTAAGTCTAAACTTAAAAAAGCAAAAACAAAAATGAAGTATACGGTGGAGTGTTAGCATTTTTTGAAGTGATTTAAAATGAGATATGTTTCTGATGCAAGGTTGTAAAGCCAGTGGGAACTTTGTATATGTATAATAATAATTATTATTATTTTAAAATTTATTTACAAATTCTGTTTCCAGTTGTGTACATTATTTTGGGGCACAGTTTTTCTTCCTTACATGTGGGTGGCAGTATAAATACCATTCAGAGTTTTATAGTTGCTAAATGATTCCTAGGAGGAATGGATACAGATCTTTGGTTCTAAATTGCTAGTGTACACTTAGTTTTTCAGAATTGTCTTAACATATCTATAACAAAACATTTGCCATTTTACCCATTTTTAAATATAAACAGGGGAACGGTAATTGGATTCACATGTTCTGCCGCTGTCATCACTGTCTATCTCCATGGGTCTGTCATCACCTAAATAAGCACAACACTACTTCAGCAACCACTCCTCTCTCCCTCTCTCACCAACCCCTGGGAACCACCAAGGAGTTTTTGGTCTCTATGAATTTACTATTTTAGCTATCTTATTATAAGGGAAATTGTAGAATATTTGTCCTTTCGTATCTGACTTAATTCACTCAGCATAATGTTCTCAAGGTTCATCCATGTTGCAGCGTGTCCAAATTAATTTCTCTTAAGGATGAGTAAAATTTCATTGTATGGCTATATCACATTACATTTATTCATTCATCTGTTGATAAGACACTTGGGTTTGTTGTTTTTTGGTGTTTTTTTTTTTCCCCACAGTTTATCTATTGTTAATAATGCTATAACAAACATTGGTGTACAAGTTTCTGCTTGAGTCCCCCTTTTGTATTTTTTGGGAAATTCTTTTAGGAGTGAAGTTACTGGATCATATAATAATTTTAACTGAGGAATCATTTATGCCCCCGTTAGCAAGCGCAAGGGTCTCCATCTCCTCATCTCTCATAAACACATGCTATTTTCCATTTTTCTGATAACAGCCATCCTGGTGGTGGTGATTGTGTGCCGTGGAGTGGGTTCTGACTCATAGTGACCCTGTGTAGGGTTTCTGAAGCTGTAAATCTTTACAGCTGTTTATCTTTTCCCCTTGGAACCGCTGCTAGTTTCCAACAACTGACCTTCAGATTAGCCGCCTGACTCAGCCAGTCTTTCATTGTAGATACCTTTTTATTAAAATTTTATTTTTGTTGTAAAAATATAAACACAATTCACTGGTTTTGATCTACATTTCTCTAGTAAACAAACGGCATTGAGCATATTTTCATGTGCTTTTGGAGAAATTTTGATTCAAGTCTTTTTCCCACTTTGTTAATTGGATGTAGGAGCTAATGCATTTTTCTAGTTATTCCCTTACTGTGTTTCCATAATTTAGATAAAAAGAATTTTTAAAGTGAATTGCCAAAATTAATAACGGGATTGACAAATAATCTTAACTAAATGAAAGGTCCTTAGAGATGTAAAATTATGCTGATAGCACCTCTCCTTCTTCTCTAAGGTGAAGTCATTAAGTTAACTGATGTGAAGGACTTCTCCTTACCCCTGTGGCTCATATTTATCATCTGTGTCTGCTACTACGTGGCAGTGTTTCCTTTCATCGGACTTGGGAAGTGAGTATTCTTTTGCCTTCCATTTTCTTTGGCTAAATTATAATGAAAGCTCCATCACAGAAATATAATATCATACACAATATCTTTTTAGCCATCTATCACTCTTCTCTGCCTATAGTTTGTATTTACCCAGGAATTGTTTTTCATCCTGGGATACAACTCACCTTATTAGCTTTAGTTTTTTTTTTTTAAGGTTCAGTATTGATGTGATACTTTTATTATTTTATTCTTTTGAGGAGATGCCTAATGGTTTTTTGAATTGTAATACTGATTTACTTTAATAATTTATTTTAGACTAGTTTGTATATATGTTTCTTAATTTCATCTTTACTTTTTGATTAGGGAGCCTACTGTGGAATGGAGACAGAGCCTCACAGATGGTTTTGACGAATTGTGTGGGGGATGGATGTGTGGGAATGTGGACTATGCTAGGATTGTAACTCTTCCAGACTCAAATTCTGGGTTCAAAGCTTAATTTTTTCTTTGTTTTATCTTTTAATTCTTATTCATTTTCACTGCCAGCTGTTTAAACAGAACGACGTGTGTGAGTGTGTTTGTGTGGGTGTGTGTGTAGGGTCTGCTCTAGTAACTTTTAACTTCAGTTTATAATGGTAAATAATTTGAAAAAAGAATCTTATTTATTATTTAGAGAGAATCTACCTGGTATTGTTTTGAAGGAAAGGAACCAAGTCTTTATTCTTTGCAGTTTTCTGACAGTTTGTGGGTATTACTTGTTGCAGAAGAAAAAGAGAAAAAAAAAAATAGGTATTAGTATGTTTTTAGTTAGGAAAGTATATAAACACTCAAACTTGAGCTGATGGTTGTTGTTGTTAAGTGCCATCGAGTTGGTCCCGACTCATGGTGACCTTGTATAGGGTTTTAGAGGAGTGGCTGGTGAGCTTAAATCACAGAATAATTCCGTCTCAAGTACATTTTCCCTCTCTCTTTTCAATTTTAGAGTTTTCTTTATGGAGAAATTCAAATTTTCCTCCCAAGCAGCAAGTGCAATTAACAGGTACTTCTTTAATTCTGTAAGTGTTTATTGTATGCACTTTGTGGTGGTAAGTGCCGAGTGTTTATTGTATGCATGTTGTGGTGGTAAGTGCCATCAGAGAAGTTCTGACTCAAAGCAACCCTACTTGTGTTTCAAGGTTTCCGGGGCTATAAATCTTTACAGGGAGTAGAAAGCCTCATCTTTCTCTCATGGAGTGGCTGGTGGTCGTGAACCTCTGACTTTACAGTTTAGCAGTCTAATGTTTATCCTGCAGAGCCACTGAACTCCTTTTGTATGTATGTTGTTGTTGTTAAGTGCTGTAGTCGGTTCCGACCCATAGCGACCCTGTATAGGGTTTCTCAGGAGTGGCTGGTGAGCATGAACCGCCAATCTTGTGATTCAAACCAACTTTGCAGTCTAGTGCATTAGCCCACAGCGCCACACCAGGACTCCACATTGTTTGCATATTGGGATCTTTAATTATAACCAGTGTAAGAGCCAAAAAAACATGTAATGTGATTTAATATCCACACTGTGAACGAAACCCAAGCTTGTTTTAGGATTTGAATCCTGAGTGACTGTCTGCATTAATGGACCAAAGAAACCTTGCACTGTCCTTTATACTTTATGTTTATTTTTACTGATGACTGGAAAGGAAGACCAGTTTAGAAGACTGTTAAATTAAGCAAGCTTAATTTAAAGGTCCTGAATAGAGTGGAAGAAAGCTGTGGTACAAAACTCAAAATCATGCAAAAAAAATCAGGGTTGGATACTGGTCGGATAGAAACTGGTGGCAAACTGGAGACTATGGCATTTAGTCGCCCTTCAGGTCTGGAAATGAATTCATCCCCATAGCTCAGTTTTTCAACCAAAGGACAGATGGGTCTATAAGGGGAAACAATTATACTAGTGAGGTATGCACAACTTAGAGTAATCAACCATTTGAGTTAAAAAGGGCAGCATTTTCCCAAGGAGAAAGTTCAGAAGAATTAGGAAAGAAGAAGGAATGGAAACAAGAAATACCAGAGGACAGTGGGACCAAGTGATGTTACATTAAGGGGATGGCAGTTAATGAGTTGAAACGTAAAACTGATGATCTGTTCTGTAAACCTTCACCCTCTTCACAATACAAAGGAGAAAAAATTAAATGAGCTAGGGTTTGCTTTACCCAGTGTTTTGTAGGTATTTTCTGTTTTTTGTTTTTAATCTGTGTTGTATCTCATTCAAATTTGTTCTCTGGACAGTGTGGTGTATGTCATATCTGCCCCCCTCTCCCCAGTATTTGGGCTTCTGGTGGATAAAACAGGAAAGAACATCATCTGGGTTCTGTGTGCAGTGGCAACCACTCTTGTTTCCCACATGATGTTGGCTTTCACGCTGTGGAACCCCTGGATCGCTATGGTAACGTATCTACCGACATGACATCTCCCGTGTCAAGGCTACAGGTCTGTCAGGAGGCATGCTCAGCACACTCTGATGCTGGTGTTTGTGACAAGGGGGAAAACAGCAAATGGATTTTAACTTCTTTGAATTGCTAAAGTACAAACTTAAATTATGAATGCGTAAGATATCTTTTATTTTTTTTGGCTTATTTAGGGTAATGCCAAAGCTGAAAAAAATGAGAAATAGTCTTACAAAAGCTAAAATGCTTATTAGTTTCATCTGTCTCCCACTGCACTCCATTAGAAAGAAACCACTGCATGATAGGTAGCAAAAAGCAAAAGATACCCCCAATATGTATGATTTTACACTCTTTGCCTTTGGCTCTTAGTAGATCAGAATGGTAGTGAATTAATCTAGTTTGTGTTGTTCATATCGTTGTTTTTAAGATCAGCAGGCTGACATGCTGCATTTCTTACCTATTATGTAGAGATACATCTTTGTGCATCTGGTGAGAATTTCTGTAGCAATTCTCCAGGTAGAAATGCCACAGCACAGGCTGTGCACAGTAGCATCATGGGAGATATTATGAAACTGCTCCTCTATATTATTTATAGCTTCACTAATAACATTCAAATATAGTAGTTTCATAGTATCCTTGCCAGTATTGGGTGTCAGCAATATTAAAAATTTTGCCACTCTGGTAAGTATAAGAATTTAAATCGTAAAGTTTTTTTTTGTTTTGTTTTTTAGTTGAAGAAAAAGAATAGCGTTTGGTTACGTTTGACAAAACAGTGGTTGCTATTGTTGATTTTCCTATCCTACTCTTCGCTTTCTGTTGATAACTTTGATGTAGGATAGTGCATTATTGGCATGATGTTGTCTTGGTTGCTTAATTTGCAATGCCTAATAAATACTGAAAGATTAGCTTTCCTGGACATTGGCAAATAACTTTCAGAAAATTAACTTTTTTATCTTGCTTGGCTCATGACCGTACCTTGGACCCCAGCCTATTATATATAGATATAATACAATGGCAAGTGGAAATGGTTAAGTCATTGTGTGTGGATTTTGCCACTAGAGAAATACTTGTAGAGAGAGCCAGGAAGATGTCTTTGTAGATTTTGACTGTGACTTTCACCTTATGTCAGAAAATGGCACCAAACCACCTTCCCAACTGCTCTCTACTCTGGTGGGTTAGATAATTCATTGCAATGGCCACACAGAAATCAGACACCTACTCACAGTTGTGGGGTGTTTTAGGTATGTTGTCATTGTTATTGTTAAGTGCCTCCAAGTTGATTCTGACCCATAGTGACCCTGTATAGGGTTTCCAAGGAGCAGCTGGTGAGCTTGAACCACCGATCTTTGCAGTTCAGATGACTTTGCAGTCTGATGCATTAGCCCACAGCATCACACTAGGTATGTTAACAGGGTGAAATATGTTCAGGGCATAGTTCTTTCTGTTAGGACAGCATCTCTTGTGCTGGGCCCACAGACAGGCCTCTGTTGGTCCTAGTTGTTGGTCCCTTGGCCTGGCCTCTGCCTTGCTCAGGCAGTGTTGAAGCGCTCTTTTAGAGCTGTTGGTAAATGCTCACAGGACATACCACTCCACCATAAGCCTCAACCTTTAGGCACTCTGGTCTGTTTTCCCCTCTTATGTGCCTGAACGCACCCCATTCTGTAAGCAGGTCTCCTGTCCAATGTCACTCAGCTTTACTGGCTCTGTGTTCTGCTGCTGCTTTTCTGCCACTCCTCTGCTGTCACAGCTTCTGTCCCTGAGTTGAGGAGGTTCAATGCACACACGCCACTGCTGGCTCATCTTCTCTGATGGTAGTGAGACACCCACCCCCCCCTTCCTGTTTCTGAGATGGCTCATTTTATACTCATGTTAATGTTCCAAGTTTTCACAATTCACAATGTTAGCAATCAGTAACAACAACTGAACCACAGAATCCATCAGGAAAAAGTAGTTTGGTGGGAGTTTACAAAGACTATGGCTAGAAAAGACATTAGATTATTTACTACACCACAGCTTCATTTTAAAAACCTGGCCCAAGTATTCAAATGTTAGCTATTATGTATTATGTAAATATTGCTAATCTGTTGTTGTTGTTAAGTGCCCATGAGTCTTTTCTGCCTCATAGTGACTCTGTATAGGGTTTCCAGGGAGTAGCTGGTGTCTTTGAACCATCGACCTTGAGGTTCAAACCAACCTGTGGTCGAGTGCTTTATTCCACAGTGCCACATCAGGACTCCTGCTAATCTATATCAAAGAAAAATCACCTTTTGGCTGACATGAGACTTTCATTTTTATACCCCTTTCTATCTTGTTTTGTCTAGTGTCTTCTGGGAATCTCCTATTCTTTGGTCGCCTGTGCATTGTGGCCAATGGTGGCTTATGTAGTTCCTGAACATCAGCTGGGGACTGCGTATGGCTTGTAAGTATTTGTATTGCGGACCACATGTCTCTACTGTGTTGATTTAGTTGTCAGTTAAAACTTCAGAGCTCCAGAATTTAGTTATCTTTAAGTCTGGTACAGCTCTGAGCCTGAGAATGACTAGAAAATTCAGTTACTCTAATTAAGGTACTGTTGGGCAGCAAACGGGCTCGAATTCCCCAGCAAGAGAGAATCCATAAGAGGGAATTGCTGGCATTACAACCCCACTGCCTATTTATCTGAGAGCTTCTTTGTGAGGTTTGTTGTTGTTGTTGTTAAGTGCCATCAAGTCAGTTCCGACCCATAGCAACCCTGCACAGGGTTTCCGAGGCTGTAAATCTTTACGGGAGGACAAAGCCTCATCTTTCTCCTGTGGAGTGGCTGGTAGTTTCGAACTGCTGGCCTTGTGGTTCGCAGCCCGATTCATAACCACTACGTGAGGTAGTGACCCCCAAAAGTTGGTGTTCAGGTAGCACTTTCTGCCCTTCAGCGGGAGGGTGTTGAGTATTTTTCTGCCTTGAATGAGGTGAGGTCCCCTACAATTGAACATGCAGTCCAGTTGAGGAAGCGCTCATGGAATAAGTCATTAGAGAGGCATGAGAGAACAAGGAGAATATGATTGCTTGGGGCCAAGGAAAACTTCACAGCATGTGAGTTGTATTTGGAAAGATGAAGGAGTTTCCCCATAGGTGGTTGTTGTTAATTGCTGTGGAGTCGGTAAGATTTGTAGCCAATCTGTTAATAGGGTTTCCGAGGAGTGGCTAGTGAGTTTGATCCTCCAACCTTGTAGTTCAAACCGACCTTGCTGTCCAGTGCTTATCCTTCATTGTAAGAAAGCGTGGGCAGAGGGAACAACAGAATTCCTGGGGTACAAGTAGGCTTGGTCGAGTAACCAGTGGCAGCAGGAATCTAGGAAACTGGTGACAGATGGAGCTGGAGAGAGAGGGTCAAAGAAGGATTTAAGGATTGTTTTCAACTAGGAATAACTCGTTATTTTAAGCAAAATAACTAGAGGCCAAGCGGCCATCTGTTCTCATTCTCTTGAGTGCAGACTGGGATGGCAGTGATGATGAGGGTTGATGGGTATGTTCAGGATGTGTGGGGAGGGAGGAGTAGTCTCAGCTGACTGCTGATGAGATCAGGCTCCCAAGCAGAAAAACAGGTTTATTCTGTCCTATCTGAAATATTATCTACTTCCCTGGAGCTGAGATTATCGGGCCCCCGAGTCGTCAGTCTAAAAGGTAAGTTCTTTCTGAAAGGTTTTAATTCTGCCAGCTAACATGTAACTTTAAAAAATGACTGCACTGTCATTATATCTTAGTTCTGTTATAGTTGAAGTTTTGTTTTATGTAGTTGAAATTCTACCCTATTTTTCTAAAGTGTTATTTGGGAAATATAATCTAAAACACACTTCTTACATTACTGTTGTTGCTGTGTGCTGTTGAATTGGTTCCAACTCATAGAGACCCTGTTTAGGGTTTCTGCATATTTGTGCCCATTCCAAAGAGAGGTGACTGAACAGAATTGGAAATCATTGGACAGTATCATTGATATCACACGCACTTACTGAGGAAGGTCAAAGACCATAGCCTTTGCTATGGGTTGCACCTCAATGTAAAGAAAATAAAAATCCTCACAACTGGACCAGTGAATAACATCATGATAAATGGAGAGAAGATTGAAGTTGTCAAAGACTTCATTTTGTTTTGATCCACCATCAACACTCATAGAAGCAGCAGTCAAGAAATCAAATGACAGATTGCATTAGGCAAGTCTGCTGCACAAGACCTCTTTAAAGTCTTCAAGAGCAAAGATGTCAGTTTGTGGACTAAGGTACACCTGACCCAAGTGGTGTTTTAAATAACCTCTTATGCATGTGGAAGTTGGACAGTGAATAAGGAAGACCATAGAAGAATTGATACATTTGAGTTATGATATTGGAGAAGAGTATTAAAAGTGCTGTGGACTGCCAGAAGAACCAACACATCTATGTTGGAAGAAGTACAATTAGAGTGCTCCTTAGAAGCCAAGATGGCCAGACTTCGTTTCTCATACTTCGGACATATGGGGGAACCAGTCCCTGGAGAAGGAAATATGCTTGGTAAAGTGGAGGTTCAGCAAATAAGAGGGAGACTCCCAACAAAGTGGATTAGCACAGTGGCAATAGCCATGGGCTCAAGCGTAACAATGATTGTGAGGTTGGCGCAGGACTGGGCAGTGTTTCGTTCGTTTGTACCCAAGGTCACTATGAGTTAGAACTGACTCAACAACATAACAGCAACAGTCGGGTTTTCAAGAGAAGCTGGTGGGTTTAAGCTGCTGACCTTGCAGTTAGCAAGTGCTTAGCCTATAAGGGCCATGCCAGATCTCTTTACATTAATCTGTTGTTGTTATTGAGTCAGCTTCAATTTATAGAGACCCTGTATGGAGTTTCCAAGGTGCAGCTGGTAAATTTGAACTGCTGACCTTACGATTCAGGCTGACCTTGTGAGCCAGTGCATTATCCCACAGCACCATACCAGGACTTGTTTGTTGTTGTTATGTGCCATGGAGTCGGGTCCGACTCACAGTGACCCTGCACAGGGTTTCCGAGGCTGTAAATCTTTATGGGAGCAGAAAGCCTCATCTTTCTCCTGCAGAACAGCTGGTAGTTTTGAACTGCTGACCCTAAGATTCACAGCCCGTTCGTAATCACTACACTACCAGAGCTCCAGGACTAGCAACCTAAATATTAAGTAAAAAAGAAAACTGCAGACTGTCTTTATCACTGTCATAGAGTTGATCCTTCCTGTCTCTGCTTACAGATGACATGTGGAGACAGCTAGTATTGCTTTGATTCCTTTTTTTAATGAGTTTGCATAGTACATGGGGCTCATGTTTTACTTTAGGTCATGTTTATTAGCTAAAGCTTTTATAAACTTTTCATTGCAATTTGGGTCAGAATAATCGCAGTTTGTTTACAGAGCAAATCTGTTTCCCATTCAACAATTCAAACACACATTGACTGAAGACATTGATGGCGATGCTCCAGTGAGCATCACTTTTCCCACTTCTTCCCCGTGTGTGCCATTTCCGCTCGTCTTTCTCTCTTACCCCTTCTTGACTTCTGAACTTTCTCTTGGGCACATGCCATCCTTTTAATCTTACATGATTGATAGTTCTAACGTGTGTTTACCTCTTTCGTGCTATTATTCACCCTATAGACCTGTTTGTTGTTTGGCTGAAAGGTGAGTTCAGTTCCATTCTGAAGGGCCACTAAAAGCCATAGTCTTGGGGTTCCTCCAATCTCTAGCAAAGCAATGAGTTTGTCTTTTTTTGTGTGCTTTTGAATGTTGTTCCACATTTTTCTCCCTCTCTACCTCTATTGTGACCCCTTTCAGAGCAGATAGCACCATTTAGTTGGTCTGGTTTCAGGGTCATGGAGTTTGAGATTTGTGTGGTACATTAGACCCCTGGCTGAATTATTTCCATGTGTCTTTGGTTTTCTTCACTCTTCTTTGTTCTGGATAGGGCAAGACCAATAGTTGCATCTTAGATGGCTGCTCACAAGATGTTAAGACCCCAGTCGCTACTCACCAAGGTAGAGTGCAGAACATTGACTCTGTGGGCTACGTTATGACAATTGACTTTGATGAGACTATTGTCCTGAGTCCCCAGAACCCATGATTCATTCCCTCAAGGTGTTTGGTTATGGCTAAGATGATTTCATAACTTTGACCCTATGTATGCTGTACTATATTTATGGATCTATTTGTTGTTGTTGTTGTTATGTGCTGTGGAGTCAGTTCTGACTCAGAGCGACCCTGCACAGGGTTTCCAAGGCGGTAATCTTTACGGGAGCAGAAAGCCTCATCTTTCTCCCTTGGAGCAACTGGTAGATTCAAACTGTTGTCCCTGAGGTTTGCAGCCTGTTTTGTAATCACTACGCTATCAGAGCTCCTTATAAATACATCTGTCGCAATAGCCTGTTTATTCTGGGTGTAGTCCCATTTGCCTCCTCGTACTTGTTCTGCTTGCATGTCTGTCTATGTTTAGGTGAAGCTTTTTTAAAAGTTTCAGAATCTTCTATTTTGTTCTAGTGTTTTATATTGTCTGTTTTTCATGGAAAGTTTCAGTAAGTTGTCAACTGTAGTGATTCTTTTGGATCTCTGATCATTTACCTGAAATTCGGATTTAATTTCATAAATATATATAAAAACACAAAGTCAACTGTTCAAAGCATCAGATTCTCCTTGGAAACCCTATATAGAGTCGCTATGAGTTGGAACCAATTCAATGACACATAGGAACAACAGCAGTACATACACAATAACCCTGGTGTGGCTCTGTAGGATAATCAGTGGGCTGGTATTCGCAAGGTCAGCAGTTCAAAGTTACCAGTCGCTCCCGGAAACTCTATACAGGGCTGCTATGAGTTGGAACCAAGTGGACAGTACACAGCAAGTAAGCACACAGTACACACACACATGCGTGCAGACATAATAACTTTTTTAGAAGTAACAGACAACATTTGAGGCTGAGGCAGCAGATATTAGATTGGGGAAGTGCTGTTGGGAACTTCTGCATAATCTGGGAAGGTTCCCTTACTGAGTGCATGGATTTTATTTCTTACAGCTGCCTATATTTGCTGGGCGCCTGTTTTGTTTCAGTAACTGGGCTTGTTTCTGGAAACACAAGAAAGCCTTGGCCCTTGCCTTTAAGGAGCTCATGTAAAATAGAGTTGTGCTCCTTTTAGACTGGTTGCTTAGTTTCCTTAGCCCTAAGATTAAACTGATCCTGATTAAGGGTAATTCATAAGAAAGATACTAAGACTAGGTGGTTTACAGATACTAATATTTTAGTAGCGCGTGTGTACGTGCAGACTTTTGAGAGTGAAATGTGTTCTGTAATTTTCTACTTGCAGCATGCAGTCCATTCAGAATTTAGGATTGGCGATCATTTCCATCGTTGCTGGCCTAATATTGGATACTCGGGGATATTTATTTTTAGGAGTTTTCTTCATTGCCTGTGTTTCTAGTAAGTATGCCATTTGGCAGCATTCAGCTTCATATAGTACAGAGTGGAAGGTTCACATTTTTATGCTTAGGCATTTGGTGGTGGTGTTCTTTTTTCCACCCTGTTAAGCCAAATCTTAAGATAGAGCTCTCAAAGCTGCTTAATTCTTACCCTGTGGATTGCTTTCACAGCTAGTGACTTTTTGGTTCTCTGAAGATTCACTGATGTTTTTCGAGATTCTTTTCCTTGAAGGCAACCAGGGAGTCTTCCTCATGGACTGTTTTAATTATTTATGGTTTTCAAAAAACATTTTTCCCATTAGAATGGATTTTTTTGAGGAGTCCTGAGTATGTCCTTAGGTAGATAGTGTGTAGATAGTATTATAATTTATGTGTGAGTACTCATGGTTTTTTACTAGGCATCTTAAAAAGTATTTGACTTATCATGTCCATTGGTTAAAAATTGGAAGCTAGGAAACTGCTGAAACAGTATAAAAATAAATCAATGATTTTCCAAAAATAATCTTTACCATACACATAAGTTGTGTTCATTTAGAAAAAAACAAAAACCAAATAAACCAAAAAAATGCCTGTATCAAGATGTCATATATACTTCAATAGCATGTGTTTAACAGACAAACCACAGTGATGTTTTATCAGACTTAATATTCATTTGCAGAGAATACAGAATATCTGTACTTGAAATCATGATTTCAGAAACAAGCACATCAAATTTTAAAAATGCATAGCTTGTTTAAAAAGTAAAGTTTATAAAAATTCAAAACATTAGGTCATGGGAGTGTTTTATTTTGGAGAGTTGGAGAGTGTTATTTTTAAACATTGTCACATGTATTTTATTTCCACTTCACAGTTCAATATCTAGTTGGTTCTCAAATCAAAACATCCATTTAAAATGTCTTTGTTGCCAGATGAGTTGAAAGTAAATTACCAGTATGCCTCACTTAAAGGAAAAAGCCTAGCACATGTGACTTTCTGAGGTCTTTCTAGACCCTGGGATTCTGGGAGTATAGTGGCCATGTTCTAATGTCAGGTTATTTAATTTAAAGATGGACCTGTCATTTTCAAACCTGACACTCCTAATGGACTACTAATTTGCCTTCTGCATACAACAGATAGAACAGGGCTGGCAGCAGTTTTGGGGCAGCTGGAGAAGGAGAAGCATTTCCAAAGGGAGAGGGAGAAATGTGGGGGTGGCATGTGGTCGTCTGTTCTCTCCTGTAGGAGCTCAGCTTCTCCATTTCTGGCCCTGTCCCTCCCACTCTCAAGTAGCCCATGGAGAATAGGGTTTTTAATGCTTTTAGAAATGAACAATAATGTGCATAGTATTGTTTTTATTTTCAATGCCAGTTAGTATATGGTTTGATTGTGTCTAAGCTTTTCTTCCTAATTATGATTACATAGGAATCATAGAGAAGAACTATGTATTTTTAAAGGGCTTTTTGTTTTTTTTTCATCCTTAGTGTCACTTTTGTTTGTGGTCTTACTCTATTTGGTGAATCGTGCCCGGGGTAAGTGCAAGTTTTTCTTTTCAAACTTCAGTGGATCATTTTGTGGGGACCCTGGGTTGCCTGCAGTCTTCTTTGGAGGACAGTGTTGTGGCTCATGTAATGACATTTATTCATAGAGATAGAAACAATTTAATTATGTAACATAGGATTATGTACATTGAACCTTCACATCTGTTTAAATTGTCATTTCCTTCTGACCAGTTCAATATATATTTTGTAATGTCAAATTTTTTATATTATTTGTATATTATCATAAAGAAGTGTGACACATTCTTTCATAACTTAGTATAGCCAAAATCCCTCTTGGATTATTGTCTTATATAAAAAAGAAAAAAGAAGTTAGCAAGTTTATAGCAGCAATTTTAAGGTTGAAAATGTTCCATTTACATTAGAAGGGGCAATTTTTAATTTCTTTTGCTAATATATGTACCATCTGTGTTAGTGCCTTTTTCTTTCTTTTTTATAGTCTTCACGTTGCCATTTTCAGCTTTTCTAACTGTCTTGCTCCTAAAGATGCTATCTGCTTGTTTGTTAGTTACCTTTAAGTCAGTTCTGACTCATGTGACTCCCTGTGGGTGGAGGTCGTGACCTTTCAGAAGCAGATTGCCAGGCCTCTGTGTGGGTTCGAATCCCCAGGTTTTAATTTCTAGTTGAGTACATAACTGTGGTGCTACCCAGGGATTCTATCATCCCCTTTGCCGAATGTAATACACTGTTTTAATAATTTTAAATGTTTAAAATTTTAAATATTTATGTTGTTTAAATAATTTCAGGACATTTCTTTTAATTTCCCTTGTTTTTCACTTTTGTTGAATATGAATTCAGTGTCCCAGTTAACAAAATCTGTAGTAAGGTCCAAACTAAAAAAAAAGTTCCTGAAAATAAGACTCCATTCTCCCTTATTCTCAGGAACTTTTTTTTAGTTTGGACTTACGCACTGCTACTGATTTTGTTAACTGGGACACTGAATTAATATTCAACAAAAGTGAAAATTAAGGAAAATTCAAAGAAATGTCCTGAAATTATTTAAACAGCATAAATATTTAAAATTTTAAACATTTAAAATTATTAAAACAGTATATTGCATTCTGCTAAGTTGATGACAGAATCCCTGGGTAGCACCACAGTTAACTGCTCAAATAGTAAATGAAAATCTGGTGATTCGAACCTACCCAGAGGCACCTGGGAAGAAAGGCCTGGTGATTAATGGAGTCTTGGAGCCCTGGTGTGGCTCTGTGGGCTAATGCATCAGACTGCAAAGTCATTTGAACTGCAGGGTTGGTGGTTCAAACTCACCAGCTGCTCCTTGGAAACCCTATACAGGGTTGCTATGGGTCGGAATCTACTTGATGGCACTTAACAACAACAAATGGAATCTTGGTGTGGTGATGTAGGATAAGCACTCAGCTGCTTACCACAGATTGGTGGTCCAAACCCACCAACCGCTCCTTGGAAGCCCTATATTGCATCACTATGAGACAGAACCCACTTGATGGCACTTAACAATAACAACCACAATAATGTATCACATAAAGATTCTTAAAATATGTTTTTTTTTCCTTTGGGAAGGTTCCAGTAGATAAAGCAGTTTGTTTTCATCTTCCATAGCTTTTTCTGTTACTTACAATAGTAACAGAATGTTTCAGGAGTCTTAGTGGTGCAACTCCACTTGTGGCTCTGCGGGACTAAAGATCTGGTCATCTGTTCTTATAAAGATTACACCCTAGGAAACCTTATGAGGACGATCAACTCTAGCATAAAAGGTTGCAATGAGTCAGTATTGACTCTACAACAAACAACATAATGCAAATGTTTGTGTATTTTTGAGTATGAATTTTACACCTATAGTACTTATACTAAAAAGATTCCATGCTTATTTATGTTTTAGGTGGGAGCCTAAATTATTCTGCGAAACAAAGGGAAGAAATCAAACTTTCCCATACTGAGTAAGTTTTATGAAAAGGAAAAGTGTGTTTGTTGAAAAAATCTAACTTGTTAGCATTTTATTTTAAGGTATTGACTTTGGATTTTTTCTTGAGTCTTAAGAGCTGACTGTTATGTGTGGGATATTATAACAAAACTTTTACTTCAGAGAATTTTTTAAAAATAAAAAGATGGACTTCAAATTGCTTTCTAAAAGGTAGAAACTTATAATACTTATAATTTATAAGAGGAAATGCTTGTTTTAAGTCCCTGGGCTGGACTTAATCCCTCCATTCTCTCTGATTATTTTTCTTAAGTTTTTAGGTGCCACGGGTTTGCACTGACTCTTAGCAACCTTACTACAGAAAGAAACACTGCCTGATCCTGTACTACAGCTGTCCTTGCTGTATGATTGTATTGTTGCAGCCACTATGTCAATTCTCTAGTAATTCAGATGATTGATTGTCTCCTAATACTGTCTGTGTTCTCTGACTTGTTTGGGGCATATTAAAATATGTGTTGTTGTTGTTGTTGTTGTTAAGTGCCATTGAGTCAGTTCTGGCCCATAGTGACCCTATATAGCATTTCAAGGAGCAGCTGGTGAGCGTGAACTCCCAACCTTGCAGTTCAAATGGCTTAACCCACAGCACCACACATGGTGTGAGTGAGGTTAATTAATTTTTTAATAAGTATGTGGTAAAACAGCTGCTTTTTATAAGTATGTGGTAAAACAGCTGCCAATAACCATTAATACTAGAAACATAGGATGTACGAAGCATTAATCTATGAAAACTGGAAGTTGTCAGAAATGAAATGGAACGCATCAAATTCCATATCATTGGCATTAGTGAGCTGACATGGGTGAGTAATGACCACTAACATTCATATGGTTTACTGTGTTGGGAATGACAGATTGAAGAAGAATGATTGTGTTGTAAAAAAGAACATTTCAAGATCTATCTTGAAGTATAATGCTGTCTGTGATAGGATAATATCCATATACCTACAAGGAAGACCAGTTAATACCACTGTTATTCAGATTTATGCTTCTGCCACTAAAGCTAGTGATGATGAAATTGAAGTATTCTACCAACTTCTTCAGTTCAAAATTGATCAAACATGCAATCAAAATGCATTGGTAATTACTGGTGATTGGAATGGAGAGGTTAGAAACAAAGGGGAAAGATTAATAATTGGAAAATATGGCCTTAGTGATCAGTATGAGGCTGGAGATTAAATAGTAAAATTTCGCAAGACCAATGACTTACTCATTTCATATACCTTTTTGAAACAACATAAAAGGCTACTGTACACATGGGTTTCACCAGATGGAATACACAGGAATCACATTGACTATATCTGTGGAAAGATGGTGGAAAAGCTCCATATCATCAGCTCAAACAAGGTTGAATGTAGAATAAACCACTTACTTATATGGAGGTTTAGGCTGAAGCTGAAGAAAATTAAAACCTGTCCAAAGATCCAAAATATGACCTTGAATACGTCCCGCCTGAATTTAGAGACCATCTCAAGAACAGATTTTAAGCATTTTAAGCATTAGACATTAATGACCGAAGGCCAGAAGAATTGTGAGATGACATCAAAAACATTGTACAAGAAGAAAGCAGAAAGTCATGGAAAAGACAGGAAATAAAGAGAAGACCAAAATGGATATCAGAAGAGACTCTGAACTTACTTTTGAGTATAGAGAAGCTAAATGAACTGGAAGAAATGAAGAAGAAAAAGAGCTGGGCAGAGAATGTCAAAGGTACTTGAGAAGACAAAGTCATGCATTATAATGAAATGTGCAAGGACCTGGAGTTAGGAAACCAAAAGGGAAGAACAAGCTCAGCATTTCTCAAGCAGAAAGAACTGAAGAAATAATTCAAGCCTCAACTTGAAATATTGAAGGATTCTATGGGCAAAATACTGAGTTATGCAGAAAGCATGAAAAGAAGATGGAAGAAATACACAGTCAAAGAGAAAGTATTCAAGAAAAAGTAAACCCTATATCTGTGTATCTGGGTAGTCTCCTGGTTAAGAATGAGATGATTTCCTAACTATGTCTTTCAGAATTTGTAGGTTAGTCAGAATAGGTGCATACAGTTCTAACTTAGTTTTATTTTAGTGCAAGAAAAGGCTTGAAGCCTTTTAGTGATTTAAAAAGCTGCATATGCAGTGAGTGAAGGTGATTATGATGAACAGTTTGTTTTAAGTAGGGGTTGATTCAGCCCTCAAAGCAGGTCTTCAAAGATGGCAGAGTCCTGCTTAAAGATAGCAGCTTACCGCACCTCTCTGGGTATTTGTGGCTCCCAGAGTCCTGACAGTAATCCAGCCTCACACATTAGGCTCTTGAAAGGGCTCAATATACCTCTTCCGAGTTTCCCATGCCAGAATTTTAACCTGTAATTTTTCCCATTCCAGTTAGCATGGAGAGTCACTAAAGCTGTAAAATTACAGTCTTTTCCTGTTTCTGCTTCAGCAATAATAACAGAACCTGTTTGAAGCCCCATATTAAAGGACAAGTAGGAGTTGTCCATAAGTCAGAAGTTCATAACCTGCAGAATATATGTAATAGAGAAACGTATAAAAGCTAAAACCTCAAAATATGAGGGGTCTTCAGAAAGTTTCTGGAAAAATGGAATTAAAAGCTAATGGAATTTTCCAAGAAACTTTTTGAGGTCCCAATAGCACTAATAGGTAGAGGTGGCGCCGTAGGATAAACACTGGACTTTGAACCACAGGGTCAGCAGTTCAAGCCCATCAGCCTCTCCATGGGAGAAAAATGAAGGTTTCTGTTCCTGTAAAGATTTACAACCTTGGGTCAGAACCAACTTAATGGTGCTTCAACAACTACATATGAACAATTATTTTTAAATGTTAGGGTTTTAAGTGCTTAATTTTTTCTTTGATTTTTTTTTGGGGGGGGTTTCCAAATGTTCTACAGTGACCCTGTGTTACTTTTCAGATCAGAAAGAAAAGTACAAAAACCCCAGCAAAATAAGTAACTTTTAATATTTGTCCCTACATGACTTGTGATGTTTGTGGTTTTCATTTTGTAAACCAGACAGGGTTTCCTGGTGATTTCCCCGTTGTGGTGATTGATTGCATTTTGTTTTGCAGATGAGAAGTTTCATCGACTGTCCCGAGAACTGACTGCAGGCACCATTGTTTTGAAAGCCTCCACTGTTTTTTAATTTAGAAATTTGTCATTGGGAAAAATAATTGACTGGAACGTTATTGTACTGAGGGTTATTTTAACCTGTTTCTTTTGTCCTCTGTGTCACTGAAGAATTCTTTGGTAGAATTGATGGATCAATAGTGAAGAGTTCAGAAAATGGCTCTGGGACATCCAAGCGGACTTTAGTAAGGACAGTAAATAATGAAAAACTTTGGCTCTTGAGATCATTTTCATTAAGTATATCTTAGGGAATGGCCTTTAAAAAAAAAAAAATCCTAAAGGGAAAAATACCACCACACACACACACAAATACTTTAGAGGTTCAGAAGGGTTGTTTTTATAATTAAATGATGACATTGAGACACTATTTTCTCTTACCTTTGTAAAAGGTATTTTTGTGGGGGAAATAGCTTCATAGTCACAAATAGCCGATTATGTCCTGCTTCTTTATTTCCAAGCACTTGCTGAACAGTGACCTTTTTTTACCTCTGGGTTTCTGAGGACCCTAACCACTTTGGGACATAATTTTATGATACGAACTTTATGTTCAAGGTTTTTTATAATCTGTTTAATGACAAAAAGTGTCCTTCAAATTATGATGATAATTGCATATCTACATGGATCAATAAAAATGTTATAAAAGGAAGAGTTGATGTCGACTAGTTTTTAAAAAAATATGAAAGCACTGATTTTGCTTTTAATTCATAATGGGAGATCATCTCTCAAGAAAACTTAAGCTGGCATAAAGAACATTTGTCTAATAGTCATCGTCTGTCAAAGATTATGGAGTAGCTTTTATTAAAGCTAAGGGATTTTTTATGTGTCTTGCTTCTTTAGGCCTGCAGATAATTAAGCTAACATATTTAGCTAACTGCGTTGTTTAGGAAAAATGGGAGCGCATCATGTGTTTAAGTTCTGTAACAGAATGAAAGTACATTCCTTTCATAGGATAACTTCATTGGCATCCTTTTTCTTTCTGTTGAATGGCTTACTGTATCCGTATTCAGGCATTAGTTCTCAGACCCTGACTGCCGTGTGTCTGTTCTGGCAGAGAAGACTATTGGTGGTGCAGGAAGAGGCTTCACTGGTACGGGAAACTTGTTCGGCTGACTTCACCTCCACCTTACTCTCTAGATGGCACTGTGCTCCAGCCACATTCAGCTGCGTACATTTTTTTTAAATGTGTCATATTCCTTCTCTCAGATGCTTAGGACATGTTCTTTGAGGCACACCACAATCTTGCTTTACCTAATATGTAGCAGAAGATTTTAGCTTCCAATTTAGTTTCATACTTCCTTGGCCAGACTGTAGGGCAGACTAGCTCCATCTAAAATCTGTATGGTCTTCTAAAAGCTTTGTCCCTTTTCTTATTCACTCACCTCAGTTTATAATGAAGAATTTGTGATGGAGTATGTGTGTTTGTATTTGTGTGGCTGTTGCTGTCTGTCTTTTCCTTTAGAAGCAGTTATGTGTTTGTTTTATTAACTACGATTCTATCTATAGTGTATAGATGTTATTGTTAAGTGCCTTCAAGTTGGTTCCGAGTCATAGCAACCCTGTATAAGGTTTTTAAGGAGTGACGGGTGGATTTGAACTGCTGACCTTGTGGTTAGCAATCCAGTGCTTATCCTGAAGCACCTCACCCACCAGAACTCCAACTGTAGTGTACTGTTGTTGTTAAGTGCCATTGAGCTGGTTCCAACTCATAGCAACCCTGTATGGGGTTTCCAAGAAGCGGCTGGTGGGTTTGAACCACTGACCTTGCAGTTCAAACCGACCTTGTAGTCCAGTGTATTATCCTGCAGCACCATACTAGGACTCCATGATAGTGTATAGCCTAAAATAA